GGGGGGGGTTTCCTGACACAACAAGAAGGAGATGGATGATATACCTAACCAAGCTCTGCCCTGTCCGATTGGTTGGCTACGAGTCAGAATCGACTAGAGAGGCTATAGGTATTTCCTTGGGTTTTCATTGTTACTTTCTCAGTCAGACACTTGCACTCGCTCACTCTCCCCTGTGAACAGTTCAACAGCTTCGCGTACTCGATGTCTGAGAGACTCTCGCGCTTGTCGTTTCTGGTCATGCGTGCACTAAGCCCCTCTCCCCTCTGTGAATCCTGCTATCCCTGAGACACCCGCCGACCAGCTTGTGAAGGCAGGCCCGACACCAGCTGAAACGCCCAGGGCGAAGACCCACTGTGGACTCCTGAGGTCCCCACCCCCGGCCCCACCCACCGTGGACAACGGCGCACCTTCAGAGCCTGCTCCTTGAAGTACTGCAAGGCGTATGCGAAGATGTCCAGAGCTTTCACCTTCTTGCCATTCGCCGCCGTCAGGTCTGTCTCCATGGTCAAGTCCTGGGAGGTAGGGGGGCAGTGGAAGGAGAGAGTGGCAGGAGGGCACAGGAGACGCAGGGGGGCCGCTGCCTGCGGGTCTGGGGGATTGTGGGGAGCTCTGCTGTTTCCTGATGTTTGAGGCGTTGGCTAGGATGGTGGGAGCTCCACCCAGGGCCTGGCAGATGCCCCACAGCACCCACTTCCATGGCCCTCTCCCTCCTCCACTCTCCCAGATCCTCCCGGGAGCAGAGATTGGGATGAACAACAGCACCAGGAAGCAGAGAGAGAGGGAGGGAGAGAGAGAGAGGGAGGGAGGGAGGGAGGCAGCAGGCTGCAGCCCAGATGTAAATGCACAGACTGTTTCCACACATGGACAGTCACCCTTGGGAGTCCCCAGTGGAGGCCGAAGTGGCACCCTTGTTGCCGTGTATGATGCTAAACAGACAGGATGCTCTCATTCCTCCTCCCACCCATCTCCCCATCCACCCCCGGGAGCTGCCTACCACGTAACCAGAATATCTTAAGGCTGGAGCTGCCGAATCCTCAGCGCCTCTGCCTCCCTCCCTCCCTCTCCTTCCAGCTGCAGAGTGAGCAGGGTCCTTAGATGGTGGGAAGTCAGGTGGCAGGTGGCTGGGGTTCCTGAACAAGTGATGGGGAGCGCTTCCTACAGTGGCCTAAGGGCATCTGCCAAAATAGTTCGCTACTCACTTGACCCAGAAAACTGTGCCAATCAACAGGGTGGAATCTCCAGGTCCATTTCAAGAATGGCTGTGAAACTGCCTGGGCCATCAAGGGTGTGCATATCCGGAAAGCCACCAGGTGTTTGAAAGACACTTTGCAGAAGTAGCGTGTGCCTGCCTGATGCTATAATGGTGGAGTTGGCCGGTGTGCCCAGGCCAGATATGGGGTTGGACCCACGGTGGCCAAAAAAATGTGCTGCATCTTTGCCACCCGGGCTTAAAAAAGGCAGAGTTGTGCTGAACTGAAGGATCTAGCTATGGCTTCTCTGATCATTGCACACATACATCCAGGTGAACAAAGCCCCCAAGATGCCCAGCAGACTTAGAGAGCTCAGGACGGGCCAGTCCATACACGAGCTCCCCCGGCCGCACTGAAATGACCTGACTGAATAGAAACGAGTTGTTTTTAAACCAGAAGGGGAGCGTGCACAGAAGACAACGCTATCACAGGAGAAACGGAAGAAGCAAACACCTGGGAGTAAATTAAGCTTAAAAGAAAAGTTTTTTGCTTTGTTTTGTTTTTTTGCCACAAAGAAGGGATGAAAACAGTCCCTGGAGTATGAGGAGGGGCGGAGAGTGGGGAGCGAAACAGTAGAGGAAGCCCCCAGCCCCAGGAAGCTCATTCCTGCGGGGCGGGGAGTCAGTGGGGAGTCAGAATGAAGGAGGCTGGGTAATCTGAAGGCAGCAGTGGGTTACTAAACCCAGCCCAGTGTACTCAGCATCCGTTCTCCTGACACCTCGGCCCAGCCGCCTCCCACCCCTGCTGTGTGCTATTGGGAGGCAGCTCCCTGGACTCAGAGAGGGCCCCAAGCACCAGGAAGCCCCCAGCTGGGACAGGAAGCCTGCGCTGCACTGATAGTGCCGAATTCTCTCCGACAGAGCTCTGCCATGAGAGAGCCAGCCACACCCAGGGCCCAGGAGCCCCAGGCCAGTGCTGGAAGCCGGCTTGGGACTGCCACTACCCGTTTTACAGAGAAGGAAAGCCAAGGTTCGGAAAGATGGAGTAACTTAGATTAAGTATTTGTAAGGCAGCAGCTGCAGGGGTAAAACCCAGGCTGCCTGGGCCCAGGGGCCTGGTCTTTCAATGCTGCAGCCATGCTTCCAGGCACCCGGAGCTTTGGGACAGGGATGGGCTACAACGACTCTGTTGAAAAAGCTCCATCAGCCACAATACCGTTCTCTGAAGCTGCTCCCTTGCCTTGGCGAGCTTAATTCTCCACACCAAGTGCTATGTCTAGCTCACTGGGCACCAGCTAGCCGGGCAGGGAAGTACAGAGGCTATGGGAGTCGACTTCCCATGACTGGGCAGCGGCTTTCCAGCACCGAGAGCTGAGGCCCCAGTTGGCACTTCTGGACTGACCATTGAAAAGTCACTGTTTCAGGCCAACCAGGGGTCCCAGGCTCCATTTCCCTCCTCCCGGATCCCCGATGGCTTAGCGATCTAGCAAGTGAGGGGGCTAACTCCTGGCACCGCAGAGCACCCCAGCAGCCTGCTCCTCCTATGCTACAGCCACACCCACTCAGTCTGGTCCTTCTCCACGCAAGTTGTGTGACAGGCTGAGCAGCTCCCTGCACACAGGTACATCTGAAAGTACACGGCGCACTCCAAACATCCGCATAAACAGACAGGGGTTTCTGCTGGCAGGAAGGAAGCCTGGGGATGGGGTACTGGTTTGGACAGCTCCCCCAAGGCTGGAGGACCCCTAGTTCTCCCACGTGGGGCGCTGGAGTCAGGGCCAAGGTTCGCTCACCCCAGTGGTGTGCAGCTTCATCTTGAACTTCTCCAGGTACAGCCACTGCTTGGCCTCGGTGGGGTCCAGGTCATGGTAGAAGTCCCGGGCAGCATAGCCGAAGCTGTGGAATTTCCGCTCGGGCGTCAGCAAGATGGTGGTGGGCGTTTTCTGGTTGGACACCCCTGGATCACCTCCTTCCCATCGCCTGCCGCCAAGGAAAGAGCAGATGTTAAAGGGCTCATGCTGTCCTGCCAGGTGCTGCCTGGGCACCTACTGTTTGCATGACTGTTACCCAGGAGAGAGCTCACCGGAGCTGGGAAAGGAAGCCGGGCCGGGCTGGGTGAGCGGCTTGAAACACACCCTCAGTTCAAAGAAAATGCGAGGGGCAAGTCCTGAGCTCTAGCTCAGTAGCAAAGGTCTGCCTGCCTCACCCACTCACCATTTATTGAGCATCTACTGTAGCAGTTCTCAACCCGTGGGTTGTGACTCTTTTGGGGGCCAAACGACCCTTTCACAGGGGCCGCCCAATTCATAACAGTAGCAAAATGACAGTGATGAAGTAGCAACGAAAATAATTTTCTGGTTGGGGGTGGGGGGTAATCACAACTCGAGGAACTGTATGAAGGGGTCGCGGCATGAGGAATTTTGAGGACCACTGGTCTACTGCATGCCAGGTGCTGGTGACAGGCATGGAAGGTCTACTCTCGGTGAACTTGCAGCCTTGTAGCCAGGTGTGGAGTGAGTGGGTTCCGGCTGTGACAGTGGGGAACAAAGCCGAACTGTGCCCTGGAGGGTTTTCACTGGCTGATTTTTTTCTTTTTAAATTTTCAGAAATAAACCGCTGGGCCCCTCTCCTAAGGCACCTCCGTCTGAACCCATCCCTTAGCAGACAAGCTCCTTAGTCATCGGAGCCGTCCAGACGCCCGCCGCTGAGGAGATCACCTACATGCTTGGTTTTTCTTTTCTCCTTTGCAAGCACTCCACAGCGGACAGATGAGAGCACCCTGCGGTTCAGTCGTTGGGGCTCTGGGACACAGAGCTTAAATTCCCTTTACAACAAGACACAGGTTTTATAAACAAATGCATAAAGACCTACCTCATCCGATGGAAAGTGAGGGACCCAGGGAAAGGCTTTGAGGAGGCGGAGGGCGGCCAGCTGGTGGGGGAAACTAGAGAATGTGGACCAGGGGACAACTGGGGAAATGACAGAGAGGAGCCTGAAGGAGGGATGAATCTGGGCTGCTGTCATGGGAACTGGGGAAATGCAGTCCAGGCCCTGGGAGGTGGCATGGGCAGAGGCCTGGAGAGGGAATGCCAAGTGACAGGGTGAGTTCCAGAAAGACTGCAAGAGGCAGAAGGGGCAGTGAGATGGATAGGGAGGCACGTGGGAAGAGGCTGGAAGAGCCCTGAGGGAGGGTCTGAGGTCTAATCAGAGACCCGCAGGGAGGTTCTGCCATGTCTAGGAGCAGCTGTGACAGGAAGGGGTGATGGGTGCTTCCAGATGCAGAGCTGGAGTCACTAGACATGATGTGGTGGGAACATGCTAGGCAGGCTGTTGTGCAGGGAACAGTAGAGAGCCTGGCGCTGTGGGGCATGGCAGTGTCCTTGGGTTGCAAGCCTGGGAGCCTGGCTGTGAGATGGCCAGGTACAGAAGTGATCAACAGGAGGTTGCAGAGAATTATGTGGGCTTCCTGGGCAACGGCCACTCCTGCAAAGGTTCACAGGAGACCCAGGCAGGGAGACCTAGGGTGACATAGGGTGACAGCCGTCGCTCCGAGATGGGATGAGAATGGAGAAGTGTGAGGAGCGCAGGGCTGGGTCCTGCGTGGTTGCAGGCTGAAAAGAAGGAGAGAGATGAGGGAAGGAGAAGGGTGTGGACCGGCAGCCAGACAGATCCCCTGGGATGGAACCCGAGATCTGGTTGGAAGGCAGTGGACAGGGCAGGGATTCAGGCTCAAAGGAACCCGTGGGTTTCTGAGACTGTATATCTTTACAGGAGCTGAGAGTCTCATCTTTCTCCTGGGGAGCAGCTGGTAGTTTCAAACCGCTGACCTTGAGCTTAGCCACCTAACACAGCCCAAGATGTAACCCACTACGCCACCAAGGACCCAATCTCTTAAATAAAATGAAACATTTTGTTTTTCCAAAATGGACTAAA